ACATGGGCCGGGGAGGGCGACTTGTTGAATTGTATGGCCAGCCCAAGCCAGGGGACCTCAGGGACCAGGTGTCAGCCTGTGCTTTGCCTTCCTGACAGAGCAAGCTAGGAGAAGGGCTTGTTGCACTTGGAAGGACAGAGATGTGTCCACCAGACCCAATTGTGTGATGTCACAAAAAAAAAAAGACAAAAAAATGCTGAAAACCGTGAAAATTCCAAAACACATAAAATTGAGATCATGGAGAACAGAAGAAGAAATGGAGGCTGAGAGAAGGAAGTCAGAAGTGGAAAGAGCGGAGCCAGAGAGCATCAGAGACCAACAGGCAGCCTCCTTAAAGGACCTCACGGGGACAATGGGGAGAGAGCTGGGAGGATGGCCCTCAGCCCAGGCCGGCAGGGGCCCCGGGGAGCAGACCAGGGCCAAACGGAGGACCCCTCCCGGGAGCAGGGAGTGGGCAGGGCAGGTCACCACCCAAGACACGGGAGCTTCTGGGGATGGCTCGTGAGGGCATTCCTTCACAACCAGGTCACTCTGCGTGGATCCCCACTGGAGACCAGGGAAGTGACCAGTTTCCCCTGTCCCCTTTCTGCCTTTCACATTAGTCAGTCACCTCCTAATCTCACCACCGGGAAGGAGAAGTCCTTCTAGGTACCGACTGGCGTTTCTCCAACAATTCCAAAAGAGAAAAGTGAGACCTGACGTGTGCCCGTGGTAACACAGCTGACCCCCACAGCCATCTCTGCCCAGCCCCATGACTTCCCTTCCCCATTGTCACAGCTGCCCTCTGGACTAGGGATTTCCTCTTTGCAGAGGAACAGGTCCGAGCTGGAGCTTGAATCCAGAACGTGGACTGAGCAGATTCTCCACCTGGTGCTAATAGAAACAGGAGTGGACGGAGTCAAGACCAGGAGGCTTTGGATACGACATGGGCAAAGCAAACCCACTCTGAGAATGGCTTCCAGAGCCTTTGACTCCTTATTGACCTCTCTGTGAGGTTCCAGAGTCTTGGAAACAAGTACTTTCTGATCCATATATATTCATCACCAGTCCATACCACCATGCTACCAAATAAATCCTGATATTTCACTCCCATTCTGCAGATGCTACATTATCACTATTTCATGTATCTCCCTACCTCCTTCGGAGTTGTTGGAATTAATGTTGTGGAGAGAAACATAGCACCGGCACTTAATGTTCAAAAGATTAAAGACAAGTTCCTTAACTAGAAAGACTCTTCAGGGTTCAGGGGCAGAAAAGATCTGAATAATCGTAGCTGCTCAGGAGGCTGAGGCAGGAGGATCCTGAGTTCCAGGTCAGCCTGGGCAACTAGCGCGACCCTGTCCCAGGACGGGAGAGGACAGGGAAGGAAGTCAGTAGCAGAGTCTTGTCTAGATGCCGGAGACCTGGGATCATTCCCCAGGACCACAAAAAAAGGGCCCAGGAATCGAGTCAGATCTCCTTCAACAGACAGTGTTTCCACAATACCCCGACAGGCAGTCTCCCCTGGAATTCCTCCAGTAGCAAGGTCTCATTTTCTTTAAGATAGTTTTTTTTAGTTGTCTTAGTCACAGGTATTAGTTCTTCTTTCTAAAACTGAACCAAAACCTACTTTTAATTGTGACCCTCAGTCCCTAGGAGCCACTACATCACCTCGGTGACTTTTGACATCTGAATTCATCAAGGTGTAGTAACTTCCTGTCCTCACAGAATGAACATCTAGTAAGCTGATGCATCTTGGTGTTTTAGTTGTGGGACCTTTTTGTCATTCGTTTATTTATATGTGCTGCCGAGAATCGAACCCAGGGCCTCCCCCATGGGAGACAAGCTCTCTACCACTCAGCCCCAGCCCCAGCCGCAGCCCCTGTATGTCTTGATTAAACACACTCATGTGTGCTTCCAGACCCTCCTGCCTCCGCCTCCCGAGTCATGTCAAGGTCATCTTGAAGCTGGACATGGTGGCACACACCTGTAATCCCCGTGACTCGGGAGGCTGAAGCAGGAAGATCACAAATTCCAGGCCAGCCTCAGCAACCAGGTGACACCCTGTCTCAAAAAAACAGAAGCGCTGGGGGTAGAGCACTGTACGCTGTCCTGAACCCTGAACCCACGCTGCTGACTGCTTTGATCTCCTGCTCTTTGGGGACAAGCTGCCTTCTGTTGTGTGGTCTTTATCTGGGGTGTGGACACAGGGGCCAGATGGCTATCGCCAAGGCCAAGGCCGTGCACACCAGCTGCCACCAGAGAACACTCCCGGCCTGGATGCTGGAGCTGCCCTTGCTGGGTGGCAGAGGTTTCGCTGCATCATATAGAAGGTCTGGTGAGAAGGGGAGGGGACCGCAGTGCCTCCTGCCCCTGAGCCGTCTGCAGTGGGAAGGCCCCGGTGGGAAATGAGTCTTGTCTTCTCTGGCCTTGGGGACTCTGCTTCTCTGAGGAGCCACCAAACCCTTCCAAAGCAGAGGCACCATTCTACGATCCCCCAGCAGCAGGTGGGGGCCCGTCTTGGCTGCCTCGCCACCACACGCCCTGGCTTCCATCCCTTGCACCAGAAACAGACTTTTTTTTTTAAACCTTGGGTTTTAAAAGTCAAGCAGATGGAGATCCAAATCCCTGCTCGCCGGCTGGGTGTCCTCTGGCGCTTCTTGGAGCCTTGATTCGTCGCCTGTACAGGGGAAGAGGTGGACGGGGTCTTCCACAGCGGCCCTGACAGGCCTGCAAGACCGCACAGGTTGAGGGCCAAGAAGTTGAGGCAGCAGCCCAGGGAGCATGTGCCAGAGGTGGCCCAGGGGCCGCTGTGGTCAGCCTACAGCTGGTGGCCACTCACACAGCCGCTGTCCCACCTCCCAGCGCCCTGAGGCTTAGCATGCGGAACCCCACCTCCAGAAAGTCTGCAGCCCCCCTCTGGTGGGGAAGGACACTGAAGAAATTTGTCAAATGCTGAAAACGCACACAACGTTGGGCTAAGATGGACGCTCACCAGAGGACAGCGTGTGGTGGCAGGGAGCTCGCAGGGCATCTGTATGCAGGCAGGCCTCGGGGACAACAGGTCGAGGAGGACATCACCCTAGGTGCCAGGAAGGTGACAGGACACAGGATACCAAGACAGAGGCTCTCTTACCAAGGGTAGAGGACATCTAAGTTCAATAACACAGCGAACAGGGTTGGATTGTGACCTTCAGGGGTTTTACTCCTAGTTTCTTAGAGAAGGACTGAGTTCAGGACGGAGCCATTATTATCTCATTATTAAAGGGCAAACAGTTGGTGATGCTGCAGCATGAAATCATAAAACAGCTGTCCTTTATATTCCTCGAAGGCTGCGTACTGCAGGTGTCATCAAACACAAGGGGACAGGAGCCAGGGTCGGGGCTCAGTGATAGAGCGCTTGCCTGGCCTGTGTGAGGCACTGGGTTCAAGTCTCAGCACCACATATAAAGGAAGGAAGAAAATCAAGCCCATCCACATGTAGAAAACTTTTTAAAGGGGGCGATTCTGGGGCGCCTGTGCTTGTTTAGTTGGAAGTCCCCAGGTTCATAGGCAGAGCCCTGGGCTGCCTTGGTGTGGTAGATGCTGCCCTGTGGGGTGAGCCCCCCACTGCCCCCTGACCAACACGGTGGATTCCATCCTAGTCACCAGAAACTGGGGACACATTTCTTCTTCCCTTTCTCTCACCATTTTCCAGTGTCTTTAAGTGGTTTTCAGCCCTTCTACCCACTGAGCCCCTTGGCTCCTGGGCCTCCGCACACAGCCCACCCCACTGTGTACTCCTTACCCTGCTGGATAACTGCTTTTCTTCTGTGAGCATCATGTGACCCGCCCCCCACTCTATAATCTGCGTTGTGACCTGTTCACTGTCTATTCCACAATCTGCCCAGCCCCAGCTCTTTTTATTATGTTTTATTGTGAGAAGGGCCTCGCTGAGTTGCCTAGGGCTTCGCTGAGTTGCTGAGGCCGGCCTCCAACTTGCAGTCCTCCTGCCTCAGCCTCCCAAGTGCCTGGGATGACAGGTATACGCCACCACGCCTGGCTCTGCCCACCTTGTGGGATGTGACACCATCACTGTTCTAGTGACTCTGTGCATCGCTGCCTGCAGCCCTTGACCATGTTCTTTTCCCACCTGGAGTCTCTGATCCCGTCCTGTAAACCTGTCCTAATCCTGTGGGTTCTTAGGCTCCCTGCCCAGGTCGTCCTCGTGTGGAGGGACCCTTCCTGTGCGCTCCTAAGTGCTGGGGAAGAGCGTGGGCAAAATCACCCCGACTCCCAGGGGACCTGCCCGTCTCCATCCTCCCTGGGCCTCGCTAAGCGCCTCCACTCGGGCCTGTTGCCTGTCCCTCACGTGTGCTAAGGCGCTTCCGTCCTGGGAACTTCTGCACGGTGCCCTCCCCTCCCCACCTCCAACCCCCTTCACCCCCAGCCTTCGAAGTCACTCAGCGTCGCCCTCGTTGCTGAACGGGAAGGAAGCCTCCCGACTGCCCAGCCCCACGGGCCTCCAGCCAGTCTGCCCCGTCACCCGCTGGCCTTGCTTTTCGTCCTGGGCAAGCGCTGTCCTGCTTCCCACACATCATGCCATGTCCCAGTGCTGGTGAGGGGCCGGCCTCGGGCCCTGAGTGGCGGACCCCCAGGTGGTGAGCGGCTGTGCCGGCACAGGCGCTGGTGGCTGCTGGCAGGTCCTCTTCCACTCAGGTGCTGCCCGTCTTCTGGTGAGGGTTCTCACGGGCTCCAGTCACGCTCCTCCCACTTGCTGCTCCGCCTCAGGTCCCCAGCTGTGCCCACCCTGGCTACTGATGGCCGCAATGCTGTGCGCCGAGAAAACCCTAGAAAGCGGTGCTGCTGTGTGACTTGGCCTATGACAAGCTGAGGCCAAGAGCTGCACCCGGCATGCCCTGAGGCCCCGGGCCACTTGGTTTCTTAGGGGTGTGTTTTCTTCCCTTGCAGAATGCATCAGGAGATTGCATGTAGATTATTCGCTGCAGGAGGCATAAAACTCTCCCTTCTGCCCTTGTCAGGTGTGAACGGTTGGAAGAGCAGCTAAATGACCTGACAGAACTGCACCAGAACGAAATCTTGAACTTGAAGCAGGAATTGGCCAGTATGGAAGAGAAGATCGCGTACCAGTCCTACGAGCGGGCGCGGGACATCCAGGTGAGCACCAGGAGGGCGGAACAGGACGGGGGTGGGGGGGGTGCGGCCATTTGGGGCGTAGACTGCTCGGTCGTGGAAGTGTGTCTGGGCTCCCAGGGGCTCTGCATGGGAGACCAGAGCCTTCCGTCCGTCGGTTGCTGCTCTGTCACATGCGAGGGCCACCCAGCCTGGCTTCTGCACCCTGAGAAGGAGGGCCCTGTCCTAGCTCCCAGGTCCAGAGCGAGCTTCTGCAGACAGGTGCCGCGCAGCTGGGCAGAAGCCCCTGAGGCAGGTGTTGGAGGTGAAGAGCTGCTGTAGTCCGTGGAGAAACAGAAGATTGGATTTTTCCTTATTTGTGTAGAGTATTTCCCAGGGAACGAGATGCCACATGGTGAAAGCCTCTTCAAAGAAGCTCGTCTAGAGAAGGGAGGTGGTCTGGGAAACGGGTACAGCTGCCTCGGGGCCCAAGAATGTCCCCACAGCTTGCCCAGCCGCGTTTTTCTCCAGGACCCGGAATTCTACTTGCGTTTTAGGGTTTTTACTCCCTGAAGGTGGTCTGGACTGGGCAGATCTGTTTACCTCTAGCTGGCTTCAGCCTAAAGCTGCCCGAGCCTCATAGGCAGATCAAGAGCCATCAAAGCAAGGCCAGAGCAGGCTGTGTGTCACACACCTGTAATCCCAGGGACTCGGGAGGCTGGGACAGGAGGTCACAAGTTTGAAGCCAGCTTCAGCAACTTAATGAGGCCCCGTCTTATAATAAAAAAGACCCGAAATGTAGCTCAGTGGTAAAGTGTCTCTAGGTTCAATCCCTAGTGCCAAAAAAAGAAGAAAAGAAACCAAGATCAGAAAAGCCCAAGGCTACAGCTTTGTAAGATGTGTCTCCACGGCTAGGGAAATCGATCCTGTCCCCTGGATGCTTGGCAGACCATAAACACCCAGGGTAAAGGTCTTGGTGTTGAGGAGAACAGATCACTTTAACGTTTGCCTATCGTGTGACACAGAGATGAACCCAGAAGGGCTGTGTAACGCCATCAGGGCAGGTCACAGTTCCTCTGGGCTGAAGTCAGACACTGACCTGATTCAGAAACCAGGTAGCCTTGGGTGGCCTTGGGAGGCTGAGGCAAGAGGATCACAAGTTCAAGGCCAGCCTCACCCACTTAGCAAAATCCTGTCTCAGAAGAGAAGAGAGAGGGCTGGGGGTGCCTCAGGTGGAGACCCTCTAGTTCAGTCCCCAGTACCAGAAAAGAGGGGGCGGGGTCTTGCCAAGTTCCTATGGCCTGCCTCCAATTTGAGATCCTCCTGCCTCTGCCTCCCGAGTCCGAGTCACTGAGTTTACAGCTGAGTTAATAATGCTTCAAAGAGAGCCTGTGTTTGAGGTCTTGCCATTAAAATACTGCAGACCATATTAAGGCAAGCATGGCCACTGTCCAGGGGACCCTGTCCCAGGGGGGCCGTGGAGGGGAGGGATGGCCACTGGGTGGGGAGCTGGGCCCATGGCCTTTTCTCCCAGGATGCGTGGGCTGGCCCAGGGGCATCGACTCCTGCCTGGAGCAGCACTAACGTCCCTGTTTGGCCCTCAGGAGGCGCTGGAGGCCTGCCAGACCCGCATCTCCAAGATGGAGCTGCAGCAGCAGCAGCAGCAGGTGGTGCAGCTGGAGGGGCTGGAGAGCGCCACAGCGCGGAACCTGCTGGGCAAGCTCATCAACATCCTGCTGGCCGTCATGGCCGTGCTCCTGGTCTTCGTGTCCACGGTGGCCAACTGCGTGGTCCCCCTCATGAAGACGCGCAACAGGACGTTCAGCACTTTATTCCTCGTGGTCCTGGTGGCCTTCCTCTGGAAGCACTGGGACGCCCTCCTGGGCTACATGGAGCGCTTCTTCTCGTCCCCCAGGTGATGCTGGGCCGCGCCCTGGCGAGCGCACACGGCGGCCAGCGGGCGGGACAGGTCACCTGCTCGAGTCGCCCCCACAGCGAGAGTCGAGTGAATCTGTTTACATTTAGAATAATGTTTTTTTCTTCAAGAGACGCAATTGCAATAGTATTTTTTAGATTTTATCCAAGAAGTTTTTTGGGCGAAAATCTTGGATCCTTTTTATGTAGCATGATTTTCCTTGGGATGCAGATCCTCCCCGTCCTCTAACACAGCCACCACCGGAACGCCCAAGGGCATCTCAGCTGCGGCCTGAAGGACTCACTAACCCACTAAACAGATGCGACACCCAGTTGGCAGAAAGACCCGACAGCCCCTCACCTGCCCCGGGGCACCACCTCCCGCCCGCCCGGGGACTCTACTGTGAAACCTGCCACATTCCATGTGTGAGTTTTGGGATTCAGGGTGGCGTCTCCTCATCCGTGGAAGAGCACGTGGACCTCCCTGGCACTGTCACCCAGTTGGCCATTCACGCTCACCCTGGAGCCCCGTCACTCCTGGACCTGGTCCCCTCACGTTGCTGGGACACAGAAGTGAGAGCCTCGTGCCACAGGGTCACCGCCCAGTCCTCCTGCAGTGTCATGAAGCAGCCCTGGAGAGCCTCGAGACCCGTCATGTCCAGCAAAATCTCTTGGCCGCACTTTTAAGGTTGTTTTTTTTTTTTTGTTTTTGTTTTTGTTTTTTTTAATATGTGTGTGTGCGCGTGTGTGCGCGTGTGTGTGTGTGCATAGTTACCACCTTAAAAATAAAACACCCGAACAGCATACTTGAAGAATGTACTACTCCAACTCTCAGTGCTTCCTTATGGTTTCTAATAGGATTTTTTATTATTGTTATTATTATTATTGGGTTTTTTTGGAAGGGGATTGGGAGGGTCTTTTATTTTTCCTTTGAAATAAAGAAGTGATGTTTTTAAATGGAGACGTGTGGCTATTTAAATGTGCTGCTCCCTCTTGTCCTGACACAGCGTGAGGAGGGGACTCGCTGGGGACAAGGCCCTGTCTTGACACGTATCCTCAACGCCCCGCTGTGGCGGCTGCTTCGTGGGGTCCTGCCAACCCCTCCCCACCCGTCCCCGGCTCAGCGAGGTGGGGAGTCCAGGTGCGCAGGGACAGGGAGGCCGTGTCCCCAGAGCGCATGCTACAGCGGGGACTGTTTGGCCCCAGGAAATATTCACCCAGTGACCTTGAGATGGGGCTGTCAGTTAGGAAAAATGGAGAGTCACAGCGATTCCTTGTGTTTCCTTAATTTATTGTCACACCCCCGATGGCCGAAACCAAAGTGATGTGCGTCCTCTGTCTGCTCGTCGCCCGGCTCCCTGGATTTCAAAGCTTTATTCTGCCTGCCTCAGAGGACCTGCTGAAGGGGATCCCACGCAGCAGCCGGGGACCGTCAGGTTAGGGGGACCCACGTCTTGGGTGTCACCGTCGCCGGCTTCCTGTTCATCGAGACGGACGTCTTCACAAACTGTGCTCAGTGGACTTTTGGAGACAGTCGTCACCCTGGTGGGACCAGGACTCGGAGCTCGCCTGGAGAGCCTGGTTCGTCTTGGCGCAGTGTGGGTCCCCAATGCCGTTCCCTCTCGTCCTCCGTCTGTGCGCCCAGGTGCTGCTCGGGGCCTGGGCCACACCCTGGAGAGAGAGCAGAGCCCGCTTTGCCTGCCCCCACGCCAGGAGCTGCTTCTGGAACCACATCAGCGTTGCCCTGTCTGCGGGAAAGGATGGCGTGGGGGACCGCTCTGGCCTTCTTTTGCTGTGGCCAGGCGGCCTGCCCGGTCAGCTGGTGGTCTCCAGGACCCATTGATATTATAACTCAGGTACCAGTCGCACCCCAACCCCAGATGATTGTAGTGCGCCTCCCTCACCATGAGCCCCCAGCGCAGGGACCACAGGGGTGATTTTTCTTTTGTAAGAAATAGAAACCATCAGAACCAATTCACATTCATGCCAAAAACAAATCGTCCCCAAGCCTAGACCCTTAACATGTCACCTTTGCCTGAAACACTGCAGCGACTTGAGCAGGAGTGCCAAAGGACACCATGACCTTGACAGACTGCTGTAGCTTCATCGCTCAGAGAAGAGAGCCTTACAGAGTTCATCAAAAAGAAAAACTCAGAAATGCCCTCGCGGAAACCCAGGAGTTTTTCTGACAAACTTGGAGTCTCCGGCTGCTTAGTGGCTCCAGAGATCTGCACTGTGACGAGCGGGTTGTGGTTCCCATTTGCCTTTGGGACGGTTCCTATCGGTTCCTATCAAGGGAAGGCCCAGAGCTGCCTCCGACAGGCCCACTCCCCCTCCACCGCAGTTCAGGGCAGGTGCGACTGTGCCTTCCTGTCCCCTGTGTCCTGACGGCTCGCCAAGCCCTCCCGCCGCCCTGTGCATCCCGCGCGCCCGGCAGCCACCCATGTGTTGGTGCCCGCCTGTGCTCCACGCTGACCACCCCTGTTGCCTTCAGTTTCCTCTCCGGGTGGCCGTTCCTAGGTCCCCTTGTCTGTCCCCAGCCCTTCTAGAACCTCACCCTTAACTGTTCTCTATAGGACTCGCTCTCACTTCAGTAGCTCCACGTGCGTTTTCTTTGAAGTGGAGCATTCCTGAGTTCTGTGTCCCTGCTGGGCCTGGCCTGGGTGGGTGAGGCTGGCCGCCTTCGCCTGGGTGACTCGGTTCAGGTTGTGGGAGGACCACGATTCCCCCCGTGTGTCACCATCCAAGGGCTGTGGGCTCCAGTCTCCATCACCCGTTACCCTCTGTGCATCCTGGCGAGGAAGGCTTTCCAGAAACCCCCTGGCTCCTTAAGATGCAAAAAGAGGCTGAATTTTATCTGGGCCACTGACTGGGGTCCTCCCACTCACTCCCTTGTCCCCCTTGGGGTCCAAATCTGGTGCCAAGCAGAACCAGGGGTGCAGCCCTCCTCGCCAGCCATGTCCTCCAGTGCTCATTTCCACGTGGTCCCCACTGCATTTGGTTGTGTTTCCAATTTCACATCCCTTCGAGGTACAGTAGGAAGCGGGGGAATGCTGAATTCTATGCATCCAAAACCAAACCAAACCCTCGGGTCCCCAAGGCCAAGCCCCGGCTCCCACGCCCCTGCCCTCCCGCCCACAGGAAACCTGGGGATTTGAGTGTGGCTCTGAGAGTGGACATTTGCGCTGTGTGTCGTGTGTGCCAGGTGACACCCTCAGTAGGGATGGACTACTAGACTGACTGTAAGCGTGTTTCCTCCAAGTGTGTAAGAATAAAAACTCACTTGCACGAACTGAAAAGTTACAGAAATGACACTTGTGAACACGTGAACTTTAACACTGTAGTTGATAGATCTTAAGCTGCTAATGTGTTGAGAGAGATTTATGTTGTGTGTGGCCGCTGCTGATGGGCAGCAGGACTTTTACTGTACATACAAATGGAAATAAAGACCTCAGCTATTAACCTGGTGGTTGGACTTGGGTTTGTTTCAGCCTTTCAGGTGTCCGGCAGTGGGTGCGCCTATCTGAAGACTTTCCACTAGTGTATACATTGGAGAGAGAGAGAGTGTGTGTGTGTGAGAGATTCTATGTGTGTTGCCGGGCTGCCATGCACAGATCGGCAGGTTGTGCATTGTGCAATTGCAAGAGGCTTCATACATAGGCCACACGGTCAACATCCTAACCTAGAGTTGTGCCATGAATAATGGGCACACAGAGAAACCCCAAAAGTGGAGGGTGTATAATTTCAAAGTCTGCTTTTCAGCCGCTAAAAACTTTAAAGAGCCTGGCCCCGTGGTGCACCCCCATAAGCTCAGCTACAAGGAGGCTGAGGCAGGAGGATCACAAGGTAGAGGCCAGCCTCAGCCATGTAGCAAGACCCCATCTCTAAATAAATACGGTTTGGGGATGTAGCTCAGAGGTTGAGCACCCCGGGGGTTCAATCCCCAGTACTAAAAAAAAAAAAATCAAGACTACTACAAGTACAGTAAACCATGATGAAAACATGAATTAAAATAACCGCTCCACCTCAAGAGAAGGTTGTGAGAGTTAAATGAAACCACCGTGTTCAGCCCAGCACCTGGCCAGAGGGAAATGCTTCACAGTGACCCCAGTTATTAAGTAAGGATTCCCTGAGAACAGGCCCCGTGTCACTCAGCTGACGTCAGGACATACCACATCTGCCATCCTGCCCCAGCACAGGCCCAGGAGTCAGAATTTGGGCCGGCCCTGGCCTTGGAGTTGGTTTGGGGAACTAGAAAATAAGCAAATCAGCTTGTCAGAGAATGCCCTGCAGGTACGCAGCCGCAGAACACCCAGGCCCTGGGGGTCGGAGTGGACACTAATGGATTAGATAATATGTTCATTAATATGCTGATTTTTACTCCCAATTTCCTTTTTTTAAAATTTATTTTTTTTTCTTAGTTCTCGGCGGACACAACATCTTTGTTGGTATGTGGTGCTGAGGATCGAACCCGGGCCACACGCATGCCAGGCGAGCGCGCTACCGCTTGAGCCACATCCCCAGCCCGAATTTCCTTTTTTTTTAATACCAAGAATTGGACCCAGGGGCACTTAACCGCTGAGCCACATCCCCAGCTCTGTTTTTCTTTTTTACTTAAAGACAATCTTGCCGAGTTGCTTAGGGCCTCCCTAAGTTGCTGAGTCTGACCTCAAACTTGCAATCCTCCTGCCTGAGCCTCCGGAGACCCTGGGATTACAAGCATGTGCCACCACACCTGGCTGAGGTAGTATCATTTCATTTTGCAGGTGGAAAAGAAAAGCTAGACTCGGTGGTTTTGGATTTTTTCCTATAGGCATAACATTTCATTAGTAAATGGCAAAGTCGGGATTTGAACTTGGCTGAGTTGGACTCTCCAACTCCTGCTGTTTCTGCTGTTCCATTTTGCTGAACAGGAAGTGAGTTTCGGGGACTTAAGGTCCAGCTTATTGGTCGACCACTTGCAGAGCGGGTACCAGGCCCTTTTTTGACCTTGAGAAGGTCAATCACCTTTTTCTGGACTCTGGCTGTAAAATCACCATAGTTCTCCTCCAACAATAAAGTATTGGTCCCCTCGGTGAAGAGCCATGCACACTTGAAGGGACATCAGACGGGACAGGGGGCCATCTGTAGTTGAGATCTAGGCAGACCCCACCAGGATCCGGGAGCCAGAAGGGAGCTGGGGGAGGGATTTGAAGCAAAGGTATGAATGTCCACACGACGCTGAGTACATTGGTGTGTCACTGCATAAAACATTCCATGATCTAAAAAAACAACCATAGTGTGGACCTATGCCACATGAACTAGATAGAACGTTAAGACAATAATTGGGCAAACTCCCCTCTCTATTCTTCATGAAATTTATGAGTTGTGTTCGACTGGTCAAAACTCAGAACCCATCAAGATGTCTCTGGGCACAGGAGAGCACGCCCGTAATCCCAGTGACTCAGGAGGCTGAGCTAAGGGAGAAGGATTGTAAATTGGAGGCCAGCCAGCAATTTAGCAATGCCCTAAGCAACTTAGCAAGATTTGGTCAATATTCTTACGACCCCTTTAAACCAGGCGCGGTGGTGTACGCCTGTAATCCCAAAAGCTTGGGAGGCTGAGGCAGGAGGATCACGAGTTTGAGGCCAACCTCAGCAACTTAGGGAGGCCCTAAGCCACTCAGTGAGACCCTGTCTCTAAATAAAATACCAAACAGCCCCTAGATGATTGATTTTCATAGAGTGTGTCGTTTGTGAAAGCTGAAGCTTGGGGCTGGGGGTGTAGCTCAGGGGTAGAGCACCTGCCTGGCACATGTGAGGTCCTGGGGCCCATCCCCAGCACCACAAAAAGCAAAGAGAGGACAGAAGGACAGGAGGAAAGAAAAAAGAATGGGTACCTGATCCAAGTCAGCCCATCCGACTCCTGCTACCTGTCGTGGGAGCTAGGAGGTCATCTTCCTGCCTGAAGGCCCTGGGGTAGGGGAGGCCAGGCCAGGGGAGAGTCAGGTTCCCCATAAACCAGCCCAGCTCTTGGCAGCAGCCCTGGGTCCAGTACTGGGGATTGAACCCAGGGTCGCATCACCATGGAGCCACCTCCCACCTCCCCAGCCCTTTTTATTTTTTATTTTGAGACAGGATCTTTCCAAGTTGTTTAGGGCCTCACTAAGTTGCCGAGGCTGGTCTCCAACTTGCAATCCTCCTTCCTCAGCCTCCCAAGTCGCAGGAATTACAGGCGCATGCCACCGCGCCAGTTAGCTCCATTGCCAAAGCTAGTTTGAGTCGGGCTTTGTCACTCGCCTCCAGGCGACCTGTCTGATGGTGGAGTATAAGGGACCACCCTTCCCTCCCAGGACCATGTCTCCCCTAACTTGAGCCACACTGTCTGCCTGGGAGCCTCTGTGTTCTCAGTCTAGTGCTGTAGAACCTGGGACCAGAGAGAGGTCATGGCCAGTGCTGGCCCCTGCAAAAGGTCCCCAGGCAAGTGAGAGAGGGTGAGCAGTAGCACACACCACAGCATGGGACTATGGCAGCTGCCCCTGTGGCCACCACACACATGCAAAAACAGCCCACTTCTAAATAACCCCCTTTTCAGCCTAACCTAGTTCAGGCCAGGAACGTGTGTCTACAAATTTGTTCTTGCTGGGCACGGTGGCACGTGCCTGTAATCCTGGCAATTTGGGAGGCTGAGATAGGAGGACTGCAAGTTGGAGGCCAGACTCGGCAATTTAGCAAGGCCCTAAGCAACTTAGCAAGACCCTGTCTCAAAATACAAAATAAAAAGGGCTGGGGATGTGGCTCAGTGGTTAAGTGTCCCTGGGTTCAATCCCCAGTTCCCCAAAAAAACAAAAAAACAAAAACCCTCAGGGGACAGTTGGTGACATGTGAGTAAGGAGTAAGTATTGCCTCATGGTCAGATCTCCTGATTTTGAGAATTCTGCAGTGACTGAGCCATAGAATGTCCTTATTCTTGGGAAATCCTGTGAAAGGTTTAGGGTTCAAGGGGCGTGGCCTCTGCACCTCTCCCTCCAGGGCTTGGAGGGAGGCGTGAACACGCAGGCGGATGTGGGGAGCAGAGTGTTAAAACCTGGTGCATCTGAGTAGAGGAGGGGACCCAGGGGCTCGGGGTTCTGTTCTCACAAGTGTCCTGTCCTTGTTGAAATGATGGCCAAGGGAAAGAAAACCTGGCCTCTGTCGCCCTCTGGTGGCCATTTCGGGGAGCGCACCCTGCGCGTCCCCGACCTCAAACCCTGCGGCGCCTCTCAGCAGCCACCTGCCCATCGGAGCCTCCTGCCCTGGGCGTCCCTCCGGGTGCGGGTTCGAGTCCCCCTCGTGCTGAGGTCCGGCTGCCCGTGTGAACCGCTGCGAGCCCACGTCTCATGCAAACCGGGCGAAGTCGCCTTCACAGGAGCCACAATGTGCCAGTGTCAACCCTGACGCTTCGTGCAACCGGGGAAACTGAGGCCCCAAAGCCTCCCTGACTCCCTTTTTTTCTCTGCAAACAGCCTGCCCATCCCCCTCCCCCGATCCTCCTTGGATGCGATTTAAATCCCGCATCTCCCGTAAAGTCTGGGCTCCCTAATGTCACCTCCGATCTCACCTCCCGAACCCCGCGCCCCGCCACCCATCAAGTACATCCTCGCTCCAGGGCTTCCTCTCGGTCCTGGGTTCCCGCTGGGTGTCACCTCCCCGGGAGCCATCAGCCCCCTCCCCCGCTCAGGTCCCCCCTTTTATGCAAACGAACAGTCACTAGCCGCCAGGGACTCCCAGTTCTCTGGTTTCCCCGCGTGTCCCCAACGACAGCTGACAGCGCGCGTGCTTGCGCAAGGGCGGGAATGTTTGTCCCTA